TTCCCAGCTTCCTAAGAAGTTTTTTTATTCTGAATGGAGGTTGAATTTTGTCAAATGTGTTTTCCTCATTAATTGATATAATCTTATGGGTTACTTCTTAAGACTGTTAAATGGCAAATTACATTGATTGATTTTTGAATATTGGATTAACCTTGCATTATCACAATAAATCTCCATTTGGTTGTGATGATTTCAATTTACTAATATTTATTGAGGATGTTTGCCTCTTTGTTCATGAAAAATATTTGTTTTTTTTTTTCCTTGTATTTTCTATACATGGGTTTGTTATCAGGGCAATGCTGTCTGCAGAAAATACATTGGGAAGTATTTCCTTTTTTACTTTTTAAAAAAAATATCATCATAAAATTGGTGTTATTTCTTCTTTAAATGTTTGCTAGAATTTCCCAGTAAAATCAACTGGGTCTGGAGAGAACTTCTTCAGAGGAGATTAACTGTGAATTCAATTTTTTAAGTAGTTATCTGATTATTTGAGTTACCTATTTCATCACAGGTGAGTTTTGAGAATACAGACCCTATTCAATCTTAGTAGAAATGCTCTTCACCTAATTGTTCCATTGAATCAAGATTAATTAATTTATGTACATAGAGTTATATGTAGCGTTTTCTTATTCTTTTAATAGAATGTTATTATTATTAATAGAGTAATATATGGCCAGTAGCGATAACCCATGTTCTTTTTTAATTACATGTGGAAATCATGATGATTTCCTGTGATCAGTCTTATTCAAGATTTGCCAATTTTATTGATCCTTTCAAAGAATAAGCTTAGAGTGTCATTAATTTTCTCTATTGTTTTCATACTTCCAATTTCATTGATTTCTGCTCTTATACTTACTATTTTTATTATTAACTCTCCCTTTTTCTTGTTTTGGATTAACTTTGTTCTTTTTACTAATTTCTTTAGGTGGGATTTATATTGTTGATTTGAGACATTTGTTCTATTCTATTTCTCCTATGCTCACTTAATGTTATAAGTAGGCCTCTAAGCACTCTTTTGCTACATAGCACAAATTTTGATATGTGGTATTTTCATTTTTATTTGGATCAAAATATTGTATTATTTACTTTAAGACATCTTTGACTCATGGATTACCTAGAAGTATTATTTAACATTCAGGTGTTTGAAGATATTCTTTTATTTTATTTTCTCTTTCTTCCATTTATTCCTAATTTAATTGCATTATGGTCAGAGAACATACTTTATATGATTTAATTCCTTTTAAATATGTTAAGGTTTATTTTATAACGTATTTATTCTGGTGAATGGACCATGTGCACTTGATAAGAATGTATATTCTGTTGTTGATTGGGTAGTTATATAAATGTCTATTAGACCAAATTAATTGATGGTACTGTTTAGTTCTTCTAAATTCTTGCTAATATTCTAATAGTTTGTTCTATTGATTACAAAGAGGGATGTTGAAGTATCCAATTATAACTGTGAATTTATTTCTCCTTTTGGTTTTATCATTCCTGCTTCATATATTCTGAGGTTTTGTTGTTTGCCCTTACACATTTAGGATTATTACATCTTTTTGGTAAATTGATCTTTTTGTGTGGTCTGAAATTTTGTGTGGTCTGAATTTTAATATGTCTGATATTAATAAAGCCACTCTAGCTTTCCTTTGATTGGCATTTGCGTGGTATGCCATTACCATTCTTCTGCTTTCATCCTAACTATATTATTATATTTTAAGTAAAATACTTTGTGTATTACTGAAGGTTCTCTGGAGAAACAGAATCAATAAGATGTCATATGTATCTATAGAAAGAGATTTACTATAAGGACTTGGCTCATGTGACTGTGAAGGCTGACATATACAAATATCTGTAGTCAGCAAGTTTCAGACTCAGGAGGGCTGGTTGGGTATTTCCAGCTCAAATCCAAAGGCCAGAGGATCAGGAGAGCCAATTGCTATGGACTGAATTTTGTCACCAACCCTCACTAAAATCATATATTGAAGCTTTAATTTCCAATGTGGTGATATTTGAAAATGGGCCTTTGGAAAGTAATCAGGTTTAGATGCGGTCATAAGGGTGAGGTCATCATAATGGAGTTAGTGCTCTTATAAAAAGACACACCAGAGTTTGCTCTTTCTCTCTCTCTACCACAAAAGGACACAAGAAAAGGCAACCATCTGCAAGCCAGGAAGAGAGCCCTCACCAGGGAATTGAATTGGACAGCACCTTGATCTTGGACTTCCTTGCCTCCAGAAGTGTGGGAAATATAGTCTTGTTGTTTAAGCCACCCAGTGTATGGTATTTTGCTACAGAAGCCCAAACTGACTAACATGCTGATGGTGTGGCTCCAGCCTGAGTCTGCAGGCCTGAGAACCAGGATTGCCAATGGTCTCAGTTCTAGTCCAAAGCCTGGCAAGCTCAAGACTCAGGAAAAGCCCATGTTTATTTAGAGTCTGAAGGCAAGAAAAATACCAGTCCCAGCCCAAAGGCATTCAGGCAAAAGAAGTCCTTTCTTCTCCAGCGAAAGTCAGCCATTTTTTATATTCAGGCCTTCACCTGAATGGGAGAGACCCACCCACATTAGGAAGAGCAATCTGTATTATTCAGTCTACTGATTCAAATGTTAATCTCATTCAAAAACACCCTCATATACACATCCAGAATGTTTGATCAAATATCCAGCATCTCATGATCTAGTCAAGTTGACACATAAAATTAACCATTACAGTTGGGTCTTTTTTAAAATCCGTTTTTATAATTTCTGACTTTTAACCATTTATATTGAATGCAATTATAGGTGGGGATTTAGGTGTAGCATTTATTTTTTTTTCTGTTTGTTCCTTCTGTTATTTAATCTTTCTCCTTCCCCTTCTCTGTTTCTCTGAGCTATTTAATATTCTCTTCTATCTATCTATCATCTATCTAGCTCTACCTCTCTCTGCTCTTTGTTCACTCATATTCCATTTTAATACATCCACTGTTTTTGAACTACATGTTTTTATGGGTGTTCTAGTAATTGCTCTAAGGGTTATACTATATGTACTTTACTTTTAACAGTCTACTTAGAATTAAATTTTTACCATGCCAAGTAGAATGTAGAAAGAAAATATACTGACGTAAACATTCCTTTACTCTCCTATCTTTATGTTATGATGGCTTGTTATTACATCTACATACATTGAAAACCACTTTAGAAAATGATATCTTTTTTCTTTCAACTGTGAAAAAATATTTGAAGAACTGAAGAGAAATATCGTCTATTATATTTATCCAGATACTTAAAATTTCTGTTTTTTTCCCTTTATTCCAAATATGTTAAGTCTACTTTTGATAAAAATTGTCCTGCTTTGTAAAAAATGTCTTCTTGGAATTATTTTAGAGCAGGTCTTCAAGCAATAAATTATCTTAGTTTCCTCCACCTAAAAATGTATTTTTTTCACCTTTATTCTTGAAGGTTATTTTTTACCCTAGTTTAATAGTTCTTTTCTTTTTAGCACTTTAAAAATATTATTGCACCTTGTTCTGGCCACCATGATTTTAGATGAGAGATCCACAATCATTTACATCATTGTTCTGTTATAAATAGCATGTTATTTTTTCCTATCTGATTTCAAGAAATTTTTCTTTGTCTTCAGTTTTCAGCAATTTGATTATGTGTTTGGACATAAATTTATTCTATTTGGGGTTTATTGAGCTTATTAAAGCGATAGGTTTCTGTCTTTCACCAAATATGAGGAGTTTTAGCCATTATTTTTTTCAAATATTTTTTCTCACCACACCGTTTCTCTTCTCTTTCTGGGACTCCAATGACATGAATGTTAAAACTTGTCATATTTCTCCACAGGTCCCTGGGATTATGTTAATTTTTTTTCTCCAAACTGTTCTCTCTTTATACGTGAAATGGATAATTTGTAATGTTATCATCAAGTTTATTCTTCTTCTTCTTTTTTTTTGTCATCCTTGTTCTGCTATTGAACCTACCCAGTGAGTTTTGTTATAACCAATATTTTTTTTAATTTTTAGTTCTAAAATTTCTGTTTGGTTCTTGTTTTGATTTTCTATTGCTTGGATGATAATTTCTATCTTTATATTCACTTCAAGAGTGTTTGCCCTTCCTTCTTATATCATTTTCATAATAGCTACTTTAAAGTCCTTATCAGATAATTCTGACTTCTGTGTCCACCTGGATGTTGGTGTCTGCTGATTGTCTTCTCCTATGACAAATGAGATTTTTCCAAGTTCTTTCTAAGCTGAGAAATTTTGGATTGTGTTCTGAATATTTTAAATAGTATGATAGTTTATATCTTGGTTAAATCTTTCGGAGAATGTTGATATTTTGTTTAGCAGTCAATCAACTCAGTTGGATTCAGGCCACAAGTTCTGACTATCCTTTTGAGGGTTGTGGTTTTACTGTCAGTTCCATTTTCAAAGCCTTTGAAATGCTATTTATATCTGTCCTGTGTTTGCTACACCCAGTGGCCAGTCTGAGATTGGTGGTAGTCTATGTCTTATTTCAGTTCCCTGAGATCTTAGTATAATGTTTAGGGTCAGGTTGATGTATATAAACCTCAGGAGTGACCTTAAGAGTCTGTAAACAATTTCTCAGGTTTCTCCAAATTTCTCCCTCTCCATTGATATCCATAGTACTTTCTAGCCAGGAAGCTGGAAATTTAGTTATCTGTCTCTGTTGTGCACATCCCATTACTTTACCCTCAACCAGTTCTAAAGAACAGGAGAACAGAGAGAGGAAAAAGAAACAGGAGTTTGTCCAACCCACATGGGACCACAGATCCTGTGACAGGAGGGGTAGGTTACCTTCCCTCAGAGCTGTACAGTTGTGGGCACCCCACTGTGACACTACTGCTAATAGGACATACCTTTCCTACACACTCAAACCTGAACTAGAGGGTTTCTTTTAGAGTTTTCTGTATCCATGCTGATGCCCACTCCAAGTTTTAGGGTGAGGTGAGTCCAGTCCGAGGTTGCTGAAGTGAAGGAAAAAAAAAAAGTAGACTCACCCCCAGTTTGGTTGTACTTCAAAATAATTGTCTTCTCCAATGAGTCTATTTACTCTTCACAGTCTTCAGATAGCTGCTTAATGCATTCTCTCCAGGACTTATAACTGCATTCAGAGACAGAGAAAGGGCAAAGTATGCTTACTGTATTATCCAGCCTCGAAAACCATGATTAAGTTCTGAAACAAGCATTATGACCATGTTATATAATAAAATAATAAAAAATTTAATACTAAAATGTGCCGTACTGAATTCTACTTAAGCTGTGGGAGTTTGCTTTTTATTTTAATATAAGATCTTTAATATAAATATAAGATATTTATAAAAAATATAAATTATACCCAGTTCCAGCTCAGTCATTCAATTCAAGAAATATTAATAGAAAAGCTACTTTGAGCAAGGCAATTTACCAGGACACGATATAATACTATTTCATATGGTATCAGAGGCAAACCAATTGTGTGGCAGTAGAAGCCAAGATACAGTAGATTCCTCACTGTTAAAATGAAAATTGTTTTACTTAGGAAGATCCAACCATATTTATCATCTTATCTAATTTTAGTTTTGTATTCTTAACTCAGCAGGCAGTCATATTTATAATATTTAGGAAAAATTATTATTTTGACAGGTTGATAAGCTATTTCTTTAAAACTCTGTGTTAGGCATGTTTTTTTTCATCAAATTGTTGAAATATATTTGTATTTTACCTCTCTGATCCATGGCTCTATTTTGGTATTCAATTATAGAATTCAGCAGCTTTCTTCTCAAGGAGTGGGTAGCTAAGTCACTCTTTTGCCATATCACTAAAGATTATTTTCCTGAAGTATTGTGAATATTCTTAACAGGTTTGTTTACTATTTTTGTGAGAAACATTAGCAAAGTCAACACGTGATCAGGTTTTGTTAACCAGGCCTGCAAAAACCAGACTGCAGATAAACAGAAGCCTTAAGGTGACTTCTTGTTGGAAACAACAAATATTTTCCCTCTCAGTTTGTTTAAAGATTAGGATACTTTGTGTTTTTTGAATGAAAAATACTTGTGTTATGAGGAAGTCAATAAATGCAAAGCACTGATGAATTGGAGAACCATAGTGATATTAAGTAACCTGGTGTCATTGCTAAGTTTGGCAGCACTAAAGTGAAGCTCTGCCCAGAATAAGTGTGTCAGAGTATGTTGAAATAAAAGTCTCAGCAGGCTTTAGAAACAAAATGTACATGCCTGTGACCAAGTAGTTCATTAAAGCTACAAATGTCATTCACTATAAAATGAGAAGGTAAAACTTTCCCCAAACTCTCCTCCTCGGGAGCAAAGACTCTAGAGTCAGATGGTTCAGAATAAAATTCTGGCTCATACTCATTCTGTTTTTGGAATCTTGGCAAGTTACTTAGCTTCTCTAAATCTTGGTGTGTTCATCTATAAATGGGGATAATAATGTAATTTATTTCATGAGTTGCTATAAGGATAAAATAACATAAAAAGGAGACATAATGTAGAGCACATAGTATTCAGTAAATGACTGCTATAATTATCACTAACAGAGTTATCCAGCAGAGCTCAGTATTTTATCCAAAAGTGAAAATAAATCTTTACTTTGCAAAGACATCTCTGGGGGATATCTTCAAATCACCTATCTCGAAGTGATTTTTTTTTCTCATTTAAAAAAAATATTTCTCATTCTTACGTAATAAGGTATTTGTGGACTTGAGGTTTCCATAATTCTCTGAATTAGAACAGAAACCCATCCAGTGAAGTTAGTTTTTATTCATCATACTATTCTGTATAATGCCTGTTTATTCCATTTTTTTTTACTCATTTATTAAATTAACATTAATTAAGCCTACCAAATGTCAGGCACTGTGTTGGGTACTGTAAATAAAATGATAAAAACAGCATCAGTCTTTAAAGGGCACCCAATCTTTAGCAGAAAGATAAACATTGACATCAAATTTTCAGTGGTGTGCAGGAGCCATCTTGTATCTACTCATGAGAAACAACAACTAAAATTCCAGAAATTTTGCAAGCTGATTGTTAAATAATGACATTACTAAAATTTAAATTATATACATTAGCAATTAAACAAATTATATTAAAATGTAGGTAAGAGATATTCAAAACTCACCACTTTACCATTCTTTTACTGCATTTTACTACTATCTATAAATCTGATTTGATTTACATCTATTACTTATATATGTTGGAAATCTCATATAATGTTGTGCTACTGCACATTTCTTCCCAATTCAATGCTTCATGATTACCATGTTGGTCACTTGAAATCAGCCATGGTGAAGTATTTACATCATGGAAATTGGCAAACATTATAAATTAGGATTTTTTCCCCCGCAGCCATATTTGTTAAACACTTCCAGCATAAGAAGTTTTCACACATTGTTATATGTATCATTTTATATATATATATATATATATATATATATATATATATATATATATATATTAAACACAATGGATAGGAATACAAATGAATTGTAGGAATACAAATGAATTGATCAATGAAAACTTGACTCAGAAATTAAGGAAGGCTTTGTGGAGAAGGAATATTTGAATTGATTAAATGTAGAAGAATTTGGCTCTTTGAAATCCAAAGAGTGGAGGGGGTCTTTTGAAAACTTTGATAAACTATTATTGCTCCCCACTATTCACTCCTCCCTCCTGTTTCACATCACTCCCCAATGCCCTTGGACTTGGCCTTGTGAATTGATTTTGTTTATGCATGCCCATGGACACAGGTAAACCATCCTGCTCAGAAGCTTTAAGAGCCCTTGTTGCATGTGTTTGCCAGCTCTTTTGCATTTATCTTTGCTTGGTAATGATTCATACAAGGGCAGTTTCTTCATCCCAGGCGCTAGCATGAGAAGACATGTAAAGCAGAGATGCAGCAACTGTCACCAATTTCAACTGAACATAGAGAGCAGCAGCTGGCATGTTAATATGAATAAGAACTAAACCATTATTATTGTAGGCTGTTGTACGAGAGAGTCATCTATTACCACAGCATGATATATAGAAAGCTGACTGTAATATATAAAGTCTGATTTAACATTGGCCCTTTCCCACTTACTTGTCATTGCCGGGGAACATTTCTTATAAGCAAAATGAATCCGCGATAGACCCAAAATGCTTTTAAAACATGTTTAGATACTGTTTTCACAAAACTTCTCCTAATGGCACAAAGTACCAGGGGGACATCAGGGTAGCCACTTTTGAGAGCAGGAAACTGCAAAAAATAAGTGGAAGATGGCGCATCTAGAATCACACTACATATAGTGCAATTTTTGCTCAAGCCAATACTGTATGACACTCAAGCTTGGGTATATTATCAAACAGTTAGAACTAGAAGGAATCTTCATAATCAAATCACCCAGCGTCTTCGTTTCACAATTGGTGAATCCAAGGCTCAAGGAAGCTGAACGGTTTGCATAAGAAATAAGCTATGAAACTGGGATATAGCTCAGTTCTCCTAATTCCCAGTTGTTTCCTGTTTTCTCCTACTTAATAATAACAATAATAACAATAGCTAATACTTATTACATATTTAGTATGAACTCCACCAATTGAAATGCTTTATCCATATAAATTAATTTAAGCTTCACCAATAAAAAAACAACTGAGATAAGTATTATTATTAATATTTCATTTTAAAAATAGAAATCTTAATTTAATTAAGGTGCCCATGATCACACCACTTTAAAGGATCATAAAGATTTCACAGCCTCACACTTTATCACTGGGCCAATTTTCCTCATTCATACTACTGCATGAGGTGCTAAGACATTTGAACTATAAACAGGACACTCTTTCTGAGGGCTAACGCACCATTTTCTTATAAAGATCACAATGTTGTTTTAATCTGAATAAAGTTATCTCTTTTTTTTTGAGAGATGCATCAATTTTCAAATTACTACTTGCTGTAATCGAAACCACCGACAGAAGACAACTGTTTTCAGAGGGAAGGACTTTTTGTTTGTTTGGTTCTATTTGTTTGTTTTGTTTAATGTGTTTCTTTGGCTTAATATCTTCACTTTAAGACTAGAAACTTGCTAAAGATCCATGATATAATTATAATACCTGTTAAGGAAGAGACCAATTTTTTGAAAGAGAGTTATCACCTTCAAGCCCATGTCAGCAAAGAGATATATGTAAATGTGTCCAGTAAATACAAATGTTACTTGTCTTATTTTATTGGTTAAGTCAACCAAAATCTTCTCCATTAATGTTCAGAATTTTTTTTAAATGTGAAGAGCAATTTATAATAACTTTTGACGTTAGCTAGATATAAGCTGAGAATATTTTGACATTGAAGAACACTCATGAAATTAGCTCAGGGCTTATGTCTTTCTTTCTTTTTCAAAAGCTTCCTGAGAACAGAAGGAAAATTGTCTTTTATTCCTTTGGTTTCTTGATTGCTTCTATCCTCCAGTGAACTTTGCATGTGAACACATGATTTTATAACAGGATTTCACAACAATTTAAAAACTAATCCTTATGATTACTGAGTTACCTGATGGACTTATTCTCCGTGTTAAGTCTATTTCCCCTGTCCTTCCTTGGCTTTCCACCTTTGGGACCAAACTGACAAGCATATTCAATGGAACTGGCCATACTGAGTGAGCAGCAGCACAGTTACCTGCCAGAAAGGCATCTGGTGCATCCCACCTATTTCAAAGTGCTCTCAAATATATTAATCCATGATATCATCAAAATAAAGATAGTTGTTCAGGCAAGAATTGAATCTATTATTGTTTTTTGTCTTCAGGAACATTGAAGTACACAGAATTTGGGGGAATTACTTCAGGACACCCAGAAAAGTATAACTCACAGAAAAATTAGATGCTAATGTACTTTCTTATCAAGAGATTAAACCCTCTTGTAAACTATTCTTTTCACTTCAGTTTGGCTTTTCTTAGCATCTCCATTGCTTCCTTGTCCAAAAAACATTGTGATCCTCCATATTACCTACATAGGTTTTTTAGGGTAAAATCTCATGATTATTTGGTGTTCTGTGAAGTGAAGAATGGACAAGAATAAAGTTTTATTGTGTTTTCCAGAACAGCTTTTTCTTTTAGATGAAAATTCATTTTAAATAGGA